TTACTTAATTTAATTTATTTAATCCAACAAATGTCGTATGATAACAAAACGACGTCAGCGATGGCTATGAAATGAAGATCGCTGTCATTTTATATGTAAGGTTTTTTATATGTAAATTTATATACAGGGTTGTTCACCACATACGACACGGAGTATTGTAGCTAAACGATGAGATTTTTACAAATTGTAAGTTTTGGGTTCGATGAAGGACTATTAGAGGTACAATTTAAAAATAATTTTACAAGATACACAGTGTCCCAAATAAGTAAAAAATATCAAAGTTGTATTTTTTTAAATGGAACACCCTGTATATTATTACATTTTTAGTTTCTACGATTAAAATAAAGGTAAATTTGATTACGATTTATTATACTTAAACCTTACCGTTTTTGAAATATTTTCAATTTTGTGATATTGCAGTAAAAATTTTAAGGCTTCATTTCTTCAAGGGTATCAAAGTTTTTAATACTAAATATTTACTGTAGTTTATTTACTGATCAATTATTGTGTTGCAATAATAAAAATAATACTACCTTATACAGAGTGTCTAAAAATTTATTTTAAATAATTATTAGCTTCAAACGGCAATAACTTATTTAATTTAAATGGAACACCCTGTATATTTTACGAGAATCAGATGCACAATTTAATTGTCTATCAAATTATATTATACCATTTTTTACCTATCTCTTTAAGTTTCCGTAGAAAATGCATTTTCTTGTAATTTAGAACTTATTTATCAATATACCCATGGACTATTGACATTTTAGATTATTTTTAAAGATGTACCAAATTTTTAAAGAGTCCAGATACTAATATTGTCGATATAATTCGTTTATTTCATTAAAAAATTAAAAAAACTGTTTAAATATTTGTTAAAGAGGACCAATTAATATGATTCCAGTATTCAAACTACATTAACTGACTGTTTGCGTTGATTAATAATAATTGCTCCAAAAACTAAAAAACTGAATTTTGTATGGGCATTAGACAGTGTGATAAAAAGTAACACCTTAAAAATGATATTTCATTTTTTAGTAAATGCTTATTTATAACAACAGAGACTTTAATTTGATAACTTATTATTATATTGATTTCTGACTCAAATCCACATTTATTTATAATAATTTATTAACGAACACAATTAAGTATGTAATTAATTAGTATATGGGCGGAAATAATGGTGTTATATTTAATTAATGGTATACTCTTTTATAAAGATTTAAATAGTTTTCTGTTTGCATACAAATGGGCTAGTAATATTATCGTTTTGCTAAAAACGATAATATTACTAGCCCATTTGTATGCAAACATTTTGTACATTTGTTGCTTTAAAAACAATCTAAAATGTCAATATTCCATGGATATATTGATAAATGAGGTCTAAATTATAAGAAAATGCATTTTCTACGAAAACTTGAAGGGATAGGTAAAAAATGGTATAATACAATTTGATAGACAATTTAATTGTGCATCTGATCATCCTAAAATATACAGGGCCTTCTATTTAAATTAAAGAAGTTATTGCCGTTTGAAGCTAATAATTATTTAAAATAAATTTTTAGACACTCTGTATAAGGTAGTATTATTTTTATTATTGCAACACAATAACTGATCAACAAATAAACTTCATTAAATATTTAGTATTAAAAACATTGATACCCTTGGAGAAATGAAGCTTTAAAATGTTTACTGCAATTTCACAAAATTAAAAATATTTCAAAAACGGTAAGGTTTAAGTATAATAAACCTTAATCAAATTTACCTTTATTTTAATCGTAGAAACTAAAAATGTAATAATATACAGGGTGTTCCATTTAAAAAAATACAACTTTGATATTTTTTATTTATTTGGGACACTCTGTATCTTGTAAAAATATTTTGAAATTGTAGCTCTAATAGTCCTTCAACGAACCCCAAACTTACAATTTGTAAAAATCTCATCGTTTAGCTACAATACTCCGTGTCGTATGTGGTGAACAACCCTGTATAAATAAATTTAAATTTTCCCACTTTCTACAATAAATTTATTTAATTTTACTTAATTTCATTTATTTAATCCAACAAATGACGTATGATAAAAAAACGACGTCAGCGATGGCTATGAAATGAAGATCGCTGTCATTTTATATGTAAGGTTTTTTATATGTAAATTTATATGGGAAATATCATCGATCGTCATTTCCAAGCCAACTGGACGCCGTTTTTTTCGATCATACGTTATTAATAAATATTAATGCCAATCATATTGTCAATTTCTTCAAGGATAAGAAATTCAATGAAATAAATAGCATTTCTAGGTATTTAAAATGAGAAAACAGACCTAGACCTTTACTAAAAATAATGTGAACCAAAAGAAAGGAATAAATAATATTTAAAGATTAATCAAATTTAAAATATATAAAATTGAAAACATATTTTTGAAAATGAAAAGATTTTTGTCTGTTAGAACAGCTTAATGTGAGTGGAAGCAAATACTAAAATGGATGAGAAAATGGGGGAAGGTTTCCCAGCATTTTTTTTAAGATATTTCCTATTTCAACGTACAAAAAATTATTGAATTTTGTCATCCGGGGACTAATGCTCATACAGAAATGGTATTTACAGAAGTCAAAAAGTTGTAGACAGATACAGAAAAAACAATAATTATCTTTATCCCCTTTAAAATGCATGGTAATTACAAAATGCACGGTATGAGGGGTCCAGTGAATATTTTGTTAAAAGATTAAGAGAAAATCTAGTCTTCAAAAAGATTCACCCTTCCGAAAAATATACGAGTTTTTCGACATAAGAGTCCATTTCACTAGTCTGAAAAAGTAGCAAAATAAGCGTTCGGCATTTAATGTTTTACGTAAAACTGGCTAGGTATTTTTACAAAAATGAAAAAGGAAATTAAAGATATGATTATACTATATCCGTATTGTAGCACATTTTTAGACAACTTATTTATTTTTAAGATTTGATGGTCAATCATCAAAAAAATATTCCTTATGTTTGGACTGAACTTTCTCGAAAATAAATACATAATTTAAAATTGCATTACAACACGGAAACAGATTGAAGTTTTATGATTACAGTGATATATAATTTATATGGTTTTGTAACAAATTGCTCGCCATTTTATGGCAAATGCTGAAGCTCTGCAAACATTAATCAAGCCTTAATCAAAGCACGTGCATTTGGAATTTTGGGTGTAACTTAACACGACAGGATCGGGCTAAGGCTTAGGCAGATTTCTGAAATATAATATATATTTCTTTCGTTCAGAGACCGGCTTTACACGATCCCTGAGAGCGACCCGAAAGTACAGGGTGGGTCAAATTCGACGCTTTTAAATGGAAACACCCTTTTCTATAGGAGATAGAGAAAAACTAATATCGGTGTCTGGAGCTCAATTTTTGTCAAAAACATGATGGTGAAAACCGCATATCGATATCTTCTGTTACCGTTTCGGAGTTAGGGGGTGTTTTTCAAAAATATGCAATTTTAACAAATCGTTTTAACTTTTTTGCTATGGAAAATTTTGTATTTTTATGAAAACATTTCCAAAGCACCTTTTTACGTAGAATTTAATGGTTCAAGTATAATTTTTTTAAAATTAATAATTTAAGAATTATCAACAGAAAATTTGATTTTTTATATGTACCTGTATATTTTTAATTTATTGAAAAGAATTTAAAATTACCTTTCCAAAAATATAACACACTTGATATTTTGCTTGATTCCTCTTCGAGATATAGAGTTTATAAAAAATATTCGCCCGCTATAAATAAGTAGGCTTTGAACGGCACCGGCTGTAATGCAAAAAAAATCTAGCTGTGAGCATCAATTAAAACCAAAATAATATTTGCTATGAGAGATGCAGCATTTTATAACAATTTAAAATATATTTAACCAACATCAACACATTTAAACTATATCTAATAACAATAAAAATAAATAGCAAACCAAGACCTGAGATTTTGTTACAGGTGTTCGACATTCTGTTATGGACAGACAGGGCAGTTTTGGAACATTTCTCGCGGAATTCATTAACTCAGTGGGGGTGAAAGATACCCTCTCATAACTGCTAAGTATTTCTAATTCTTGTCTAGATTATACGGAAGAATAAGGAACCTTTATTCTTCCGCAAATATATCCATAGGATTAGATCCATGCATGGGCACTAAGTCAGGCGGCCTCGACGGCCAACGGCTGGGATCTTGGTTAGCTATTCAATTATTCTTGAAATTGGGTGCAAAAATTTGCTGATAACTTCAGCGTTCAGAGGCGGTGCGTCGTCTTGCTGGAAAAATAGGTTTTCGAGTTCCATTAAGGGCCATCAATAAGGGGTCCAGAGCCTACTAGTTAAAAGTGGCGAACTTTTAAAAATTCTGTATTTCAAAGGGGATTATAACAAAATATCAAGTGTGCTATATTTTTGGAAAGGTAATTTTAAATTCTTTTCAGTTAATTAAAAATATAGAGAGTGTCCCAAATAAAAAACAATTTTTCTGCTGATAACTCTTAAATTATTAATTTTAAAAAAATTATACTTAAACCATTAAATTCTACGTAAAAAGGTACTTCGGAAATGTTTTCATAGAAATACAAAATTTTCCATAGCAAAAAAGTTACAGCGATTTGTTAAAAATGCACATTTTTGAAAAACACTCCGTAATTCCGAAACGGTAACAGATATTGATGTGCGGTTTTCACCATCATGTTTTTGATGAAAATTGAGCTCCAGGCACCGATATTAGTTTTCGTCTATCTCCTATAGAAAAGGGTGTTTCCATTTAAAAGCGTCGAATTTGACCCAGCCTGTACAGCGTAATAAACTCTTAATGATGTTTTTAGTTTCCGTTATATTTTTTAAAATTTGGCCCAAAAAATATATATAAATAAATATTATTTGCTCAAAAATTAAAATATAATTCATTAACATTCTACACAAAATTTGAAGATTGTAAATGTAGTCAGTAATATAAATATAATAAGTAAAACACGCTGTTACTTACTTTTGTAAAAACTACCAAATTCAAAACACTTTTGTTAATAACTTGCTGGTGCACGAGGTACGACCTGGCGTACCACAAAACTGAAACGCGACTGATCGTACCGAACGAACCGAACCGAAAGCGGTGGTACCTCACCGTCGACTGGCTGACTTTCTTGTCCTGATTGCGTTTTGTTTTGTTTCACGCTGTCTTTGATCTCTTCTCTCGTCGGAGCAGGACCAGGTGAGTAGATTATGGTGTTCTGTGTAGTGGTAGGTAGGTTCTTTTCTTCCTTAGTAGCGCTTCTTGTAGGTAGGTTAGGTACGGATTAATTGGGAACTTTGTCCCAAAATATAATGAAAGAGTAAAATTTAATATTCACATATACCGTACCAAATCTCAAGTACTGGCGTAACTCGCATTTTAGTAAATTTGTCAGGAGGGGACAAAATAAAAATTACTTGTATTAAAATTGTAATTGTTGTAAGATATTATGTTGAATTCAAATACTATCACTGTCTTGATACCGAGACAGATACAATATAATTACAACACTTCTAGAGATAAAAGATGTGCCTGGAGGGAAGTCTCAAGTTAACCAGTTACTTTGGTTTTTCACTTACATCTTGGCATGAGATAGGAGACGATATGATATAGATTAAGTAGTATTACGATTTTTGTATTGTAGTTTTTTGTATTGTTCTCATTAACTACATAGTATACAGAATAATCGTGGGTTTTGGGAAGGCTCAAAAGAAAACAATTATTATGGCTTCTTCAGGCACCATAGGTTAATGATGGGCAGTACGATTCTTTTTCGTGAATGGAACACGCGATTCAATTTCTCATAATGAATCGGCCCTTATGATTCGTTCATTTGAATAAACTACAAGCACATTTTGCGTATCACATTATAAATAGATATTTTTTGTAAATAACTTCCACATCGCTTGCATTTTATATCTATGACGTTTGTTTAGGGTTTTGGTTCGAGTCTATTGATGATCCTACGTACTCTGCCTACTACATAAATACGCATTCATGAAGATCATGAAGAAGACGTTAAATTATAGTTTATTTAATTACTAATATATAAAACTGATATATTTATATCATTGTTATTACCTATATTACAAACGCTTGGGTACCTAAACTCATAGTATATACATAATTATAATATTAATTTTTTAAACGAATCAATTCTCACGATTCTTTGAACGAACGAGCCGCAGAAACGAATGAGTCGCATTGTAATCCGACTCAATTCTTACGACTTGTTCGTTCAAATTTTATGGATCCGTACTGGCCACGATTCATTTGAACGAACCATATTGTATATACAATGAATAAATTCTCACGAACTTTTTTGAACGAACGAGACATACGCCTCGATAGTCGCATTGGGATTCTATTCAGTCCTTACACTCATTCGTTCAAATTTTATGGATCCGTGCTGGTCACGATTCAATTGAACGAGCCGTAGTCTAAGCAATGAATCAATTCCCACGATTCTTTGACCGAACCAGCCTTAGAAACGAACGAGTCGCATTGTGATCCGTGCTGGCCAAGATTTAATTGAACGAACCATATTCAAAGTGGTGAATCGATTCCGAAGATTTCCTCGCAAACGCAAATGAATGGTAACGTTCGTCAGATCTGTCCTCAGCTTAGGAAATAGCGATAGCGATTGTCGTTGTATCATTGATTGAAAGAATTGGGAAGATATGCAACCTAGTGGCAGAATTCTTGAATAAATCAATTCGGTATGTTTCGAAAAAATACTAATGTACAGTGTGAATACAACAAGCTAATTAGATATTTAAATCTAATGGGATTGATGGACGAAGCCATAGACAGATTTTATCAATCTGAAGAAGAAAATACAGAACACATTTTATGTCGTTTGGTCTTTTGTAATGTTTAGTCTTCAAGTTGCTGGATTTCTTAAAAAGGATAGGACTAGAGAATGTAACCTATTAGAATCATAAAAGGACCACAATAGATCTGAAAAGGTCGCAGTCTGATTATGATAAATTGTGTTATTGGAGATGGAATGTAATAAGAAGAAAACTACCACCGTCAAGAAGATTTCAATTTCTTTTACTTTTAATTAGTTAGGAATCTACTTTTGCCCGAACCTACTCAATGTACTTATTCTCACACCGTTCTATCGCTATTACATCTAATTAAAGTAAATTAATTAGCTAACTCCATTTCGCTATGCAAGGCCGGAAGAGATATAGTAACCGCGGTAAATCATGCTAATCTGCATCTTGTCGACTTGACTTAAGAAGCGGATTAATCATACCGTTTGATGCATTAACTGTTTACAAGTTTACAGCCCATAAATTGTTGTGGCATAAAAATGGGATGTTATTTATAACTTTAAATCATCTTACAACTTTAACAAATAAAGTACGGGGGTAGCCCGAATGTTTCCAACTTTAATATATTAGAAAACTTTTTTATCTGAAAAATGTATTTTGTATGTATTTTTATTTTTTTAACTGAATCTTCTTCGGAAGCCATTTTTTAAGTGTTTTTTAACAAGATGACGACTCGTTTACAAAAATCTTCTTCTCGAACAAAACCTTTAGCTTGGCGAATAGAAAGAAGTCACTGAGAGCTAAATCTGGAAAATACGGAGAATGGTCCAGCACACAGTGCCTCGAACATATGGCTCTAGAGGACAAAAATGCAAAGCTTCTCTTTTATTGTAGGCAATTTATTCAAACTAGGTTTATTTGACACAAATGATGAGTACTCTCGTTGTACTAAATGGTGATGTTCTTAGTCCCACGTTTATGAAAAAAAAATCTTATAAATAATAAAAATGTTGGAGCTGTGTTCCATCTAAGGAAATAATAATTTATAGTATGAAAACGGTGTAAGTATTAAATAAATACCTGTGATAAAAAAGAATTGAAATAACTTTTTCACGTTGTTACTGTTCTTTTTGTTGGCATGAGGGGTTCGGATGTTAATAGTTACCTCTTTAATAGACCACATCCATATATTATTTTTTCCGAGATTTTTTCCTTTTCTTGGTTATGAGGTTTTTTAATAAATTGAAAGATGGAAACGTTTTTTATGTGGCGTTTCGCTCCAACATAGTGGGCTTTTTCAGGCACAAGTGGTGTCTCATTTGACTGCAAGTTTCCTCAATATCTAAAAGAACACATTTTTTGAAATACAAATAATTTTGAGTTCTTGTCCTTATGATCAAGCCAAGTATTAACCAGATTGGCATTGCTTATCAATTTTACTCCATCTGAAAAGTATTATAAAATAAATTTCGTCGCAAGCAGACGCAGGTGAACTATACAAAAATTAAAAATGTAAAGTTATTTTAATTTCCCTATATGAATATGACAACAAAAATATTCAATAAATACGATGTTTTGATATGTTTTTTTAATGCCTTTTTGAAGTTTGAAAACTTAAAATTTTTATACCCATTTAAGAATCATCTTAAAAAATAAATAAAAACTAAACAATCACGAACTTGTTTAGAAATAAATTTAAAGTACATACCTTGTGTCTACTATATCCATAGTGGCTTTCAATTAACTACGCACCGTTTTTAACTCCATAATATACAGAACTACTATGAATGTTATTCTTTTCACTGATAAGATAATGATCGCAAAATTTATTTTTAGTGAAAATATTTGCTAACAAAAAACGCTGTTTATGAAAATATATATAGGATGGTTGAACATTGCTATAAGTATAAAATTACATATTAAGATATAAGTAAATTTTAACTTTTTTTCGATTTTTGTCGATGGGACGAAGCACTGTGCAGCAGTTGAAAGTGGAACTTGTATATTTACAAAAACACTCTTATAACTAGTTGTCTAAAATTCTAGATGTTGTCAAATAATTTAGGATTCAAATTGAGAGAGTAGATATTCTCCCATGCCATAATGAAGTTGTATAAGATTCACTTAATTTATCTATAATTAAATCTAATGCCAGTCAGTGTTTAAATTATGCTATGTATATAAAAAAATGCTTATTTCAATCCCAGAAAAAAATCACCATGTCTTTCAAACATTGAACCATCGGCTCAGTTTTTTTTTCTACGACAACCCGAATAAAAACGGCTACTCTAGAAATACAATATTAAAACCTCTCTGCACAATCATTTATCCGAAGCACTTAGCTGCAAAAAAATGAGCCGCTGGCCAAACAAGATGTAGTAGAATGTAGCCCAATACTTTTAGATCAATAAAATTTAAGAATCGAATCTGTCGAGATCGTATCCCTCTCCATTCAACTATTTACAACTAAGGTAAATGTACCAGTGCTCGTCACATTAAGAAAAGTTCATAATACGTATGGTGATATATCCAAATTCTATAGTATTTTGCTTATGATAATAATTTTATTTGTAAGCACATATATCGAATTCATTATTCTAGGTCGTATTTTTGAGTTTCTGTAGCCACAATAATTATCGCTAAAATTTTTTTTTCTTTTAAGTACACATTATCTCGGTATTCGTCACCCCTTAAATGGAATTGTCCCAATTATCGTCATTATCGTGTAATTAATATTTACTTAATATAAACAATAAAATTGTTATTTTCAAGACTTTTTAGTCAATTACATTTTTAGCATACAGCTCATACATTTCATACTTACAGTGGATCATGTCCTCTTGAGAATATTTTTGAAGGTTTGTTTTCTGATTGTTAAAGTTGTTTGTGCTGTCGAAATTTTAGTTTGCTTTACAGTTTCGTTTTAATTTAAATATTAGTTTTCTCTTCTGAATTTCATTTGTCAAAGGGTTCAAAATTATTTAAATTCCGGAAAGATAAAATGAGAGGCATTAAATTTATCTATTATCCATATATTGTCAATTAAGATGTTTTTCTCTGGCAGGCATGCATAAAACGGATTATGGTCCCATTTTCATCGCAAAGGTTCTGTGCAAAAACCTTATCTCACAAAGTTGTTCTTAATGTATAACTTTATTAACAGCTTCAATCGTTTTAAGAGTGTTATCTACGAAATATTTAAGTTTTCTTACCATATTATCTGATAATACCAGAAATCGTTTCCCCCATATCCCAGTATTCGTCATCTTTAGTTAAAATATGTGTTCTTTAAAATCCCGAAACAAATTGGTATGACGGAGACCGGTACGCAAGTTCTTACTACTTAAAATCCATCACGTCGTCCAGCCATTACGGTCTTTCTGCCGAGGAGCAAGGGGAAAGACACCACCTACCTGC